ATATTGGATTATACTTATATAAAATGTTTCACATTAGGTATAACTAGAGCAATTACATTTTTAAAAAGTAAACATATATTAAATTACTCTAAATAAAAAAGCTACAAACTTTTACACTGAAGATGACGAAATGCAACTGAATTATTAATGAGTATAGAGAAGATAAGTGAAGAAAAAGTCAAGACATTTGGCCACTCGTGATGAATTTACCAAGTTTATTTTATTCAATTTAATCCATTCAACCAGAACGGTTTTTAGGAGGATTTTCTAAAACGAATAAATTGAAGTGACGTCCGCCGACAATTAGTTTTATAACATAGAATACCTAATACTTAATAATAAATCAGGCTTCAGACTACGTTGACTTTCGATTGAAAATCGTACCTTCGTTGAATTTCACAAAATACTATTGCCTAAATTGATTATAGTTTGAAGTTTCGACTACCAAATTAATAAGAGAAGATCAAACGTCAGAGGTTACGTTGTATCGTAGATATTAGAGGGTCCGGTGTCTTCCCTTCCTTGACCTTATGGCATTTTCTACATGAACGACGTAAATTTAATGCTTGTTAAACGCAATATCTATAAAGTGTATTCGGTGTAAAAAATCCTTTTTATGGTAAATTAGCAGTCTGTCCCAGCTTTGCATGGGTATACTAATGAAGAAAATGAGACCAGATCCTCTCTCTCATAGACTCACTTTTGTATATGGAGGTTATTAATCCAAATTTTTCATTTTTTTGTTTGATTTTTTAAATATTTCTTTTTTATATAAACCATATATTGATAATAGCAAACACAGAAAAAAATAACGAAATAAGTGCCGCTATTCTAAAGTGATGCGTATATATATAGAGTGAATGTTTTTTTTTATACTAATAGGTACTGTAAGTTTTTATACTATTGGTGCTTTTATGATTTCTATAATACTAGCTGTATTCTATGGTTTCGCCTGTGCTCGCTTTTCTTCAACAAATGATCTATTAAATGAAAAAAAGAATTTTTCATATCCGACTAGTAGTACCAGATATAAGCGCGTTCAAGCAAATATACTGTTCCGCTTTATTATATTTGTACAGATATTGAGATCACTTCTTTGCATTATTTTACTTAATTGAAAAATCCATAAGAAAAAGTTATAAGATACATGAGAGCGAAATATTTGTTATGTTATGACAAACACTGAAATCGTAAAATGTTGTTTATTTTACACCATATTATAATGTTTGTGGTGTGGATCCAAATTAATTACATATTGTATCTTTTTGGTTCTTATCGAGTTACATTTATTTATTATATACTTTAGTTTTTATAAACAATAAACAATAGCAACAACGCGGTTCGTTAATATTAATTAACGAACCGCGTTGTTGCTATTGTTTTAAAATTCGCCCAAAATGGGACAGGCAAAGAGCATAGTCCAAACAGCCTGTTTGGACTTAGTCTTGAAATTGCCTGAGAAGATTCATTGAAATATGACTGATATGACCAGTTAAATCAATATTAAAACTGAATATAAGTTTTTTTTTTAAATAGGTCAAGGCATTCGAGAGTATTCTAAGCAAATAGATTTACGTTATTACCACAGAGCAAGTAATTACTACGTTATTACTGTGTTGCCATAACTTTACAATGTATTGAATACTTAGCTGCGCCTCTAGCGAATGGGTTCGGAAACTTAGATTTTTATATAAATCACATAAACATGAAAGCAGCCTAATGTAAGATTCTGTATAATTTATAATAGTTACTTATATGGAATTTCTAAAAAAATAGATGATTAATTTCGACTACTACGCAAAATCGCTGGAGTAACTCGAAATACTTACTGTAAAAGGGGACAAAAACGCTTACGTTTCACTTTCTCTTTAAAATATTATATTCAGTAAATACTCACTCATAACTTAAGAACGGAATGATAGCGTAATTCCGCGTCTAATCTCAGCGGCAGTTAACGAGCTGCGGAAAGTGGTGGCATGCTTGAGTAGCCAAGACGGCAGGTGAGACACTGACATAGACAAGATGGCCGACTAAGCTAAGATGGCCGAGATATCACATGTTCAGGTTATTAATCTGTTCTTTGAAATTGCAATTAAACATACTGAAGATCTTGTATTACTCGTAGTTGAATGAAAAGGAGCAGATAGTATACTTAATATAGGTAGTAGGTATTAATTGCACGTCTATATTGAAATAACAGTAGGGATGTGTTAGTCAAACTGTAAAAGTACTAATTGAGTTCTTACTAGGTACAAATCTTAGATTACATAGATAGAACCTCGAGTCTCAAAAACGGGTCAGTTTCTTGTCAGCTAACTCTCAAATTAGTTGACTAGTTTTTTTATCAGTGTTCCACATACTTACGCATATAGCATATCTTGACGTATCTATATTTAATTATTTAATGAATAAAATGAATTTTTACGCATTAAAAAGGTGCAAAAATTATAAAACAAAATAAACATACTCGTAGAAGTTATAAAGGAAATATTCGTAACTATTTATCACCCAAAATTGCATGAAAAAATTGACCCGCTTTTTTCGAAGCGTTTGTACAAATACTCTATCTATACAATCTAAGGTACACATCTAGATTCTAAAAATACTGAACTTAAGATTCATTGTAGTTTCCTATAAGATATTGGAAGTATTAGACATGTAGTTTAAGATTACAATACAAATTAGAGAAAGCTGGAAAAGTATACTATTTCAATTTGTATGGGGTGAAATCAAAATGTTAGCGTCTTTTGAAAGAGTATTCTATCAGCGAAACCGAATATTTTTTCTAATCTCTTCTTTAGAGAACCGAATATTTTTTCTAATCTCTTCTTTAGAGATTAGAAAAAATATTCGGTTTCGCAGATTGAAAACCGACAAAAAATTTAGGCCTCCTATACTAACACGGCGTGCTTAGCTGTTGAGTTATCACCGGAAACTCAAGTTTGTCGTTTTGAAATTCTGTTCTGTCATAATATATTATATATTATGCTTAGATTATAAAATACGTTATATTAAGTCTATGGTATAATGAGTACATTCATAGTCTTAGATACTAAGTCTAGAATATCGATAACACACGGATATTAAAGATTTATGGTTACACCTAGCGTAGATATATTGTAAGTACAAACAAAACGTGATATTTACTGTGCTACTGAGGAGATTGAATTCATTCAACTGAGGTTACCATGTCTGTGGTCGAAGATAAGCCCGGGCGGCCGTTATTAAACCGAAGTGAACTAAGTTGACTGGCAAATTGTATTGTCATATTAACACTGTCATCAACTTTATGGGGGTTGAGCCGAGTGTTGGTCGAGAGAGGATTTTCGTAAATAGTTTTACTAAACTTCTGAATTAAAAAAAAAGTTATAATTTTTAACTTTTTTTTTTATTTGGACGTAATTTTTTTTACATTAAATAATGTTTTTTTTTTGTGAAGTAAAATCTAATTTTTTAACGTTTTCTCTGTACTCGGAGTTTTTGCTTCTTTTTCTTTTTATACTTATATTTGAATCGGTATTTCTCACTAAGTATAGTTAATTTTATTTTTACATGGAACAATAATTAGTAGTTATGTAAGATATGATGAATAAAAGAAGAGGGTATTTTTTTTATTAATGACAATAAATTGAGAACCCCGGCCGCGCTAAATGTATACGCTGGCGGGGCACCAGGGAGAGATGATAGGTGAGAATGAAAAGGCAGGTTAGTTAGCCCGTCGTGATGAACACACCTGGAATTCAACATGATGGTTTCCAGGGAGGACCACGTGGAGGTCGACTTAATAGGGTATATTGTTAGCAATGTGACTGATAGTCAGTATTACTAACAAACCCTTCCCCCCTAGAAGAGTGTATTACTGATTTTATAGTCTATGTATATATGTACTAGCTTTACCCGTAACTACGTCCACATGATCGGGACATGTTCACAGATCGGGCTAAAAACAAACTTATGTCGTTCTCAATATATCATATCATATAAATTGGTTAACTTGTTGAGGCGCTATGCGGTAACAAACAAACTCACTTTCACATTTATAACATTAGTAAGGATTTTAATATGAAATTATTTTGCCATAGCGTTTATTATGCTACTAATAATTATTATTCAACAAGAGAACTTACTCTCATCATAATAATTCGAGCAATAAATTCAAAGTTTCTCGAAGAACACTTAAGCCGTAGATCTTGAAAATTTATGTAACAAGTTGAAACTAAGGTAACATTGTAAATTTACTGCATGAAAAAAAATAATGCATTCCATTGTGTGTCTCTTAATTATATTAGTGATAGGCTCGTATTTTATATCATTTTACCTCAAGTATTTATTTCTTATTTTTTTTTATAAAATGTAAACAAATAAATTAATAGTTTTTTTTTTCACTACCTGTCACTAAGTGGATTTTTGTTTTTACATTTCTTTTAAATATTTCGTCTAAATATAATTGCTATATCATCTATTGACTTGCTATTTATTCTATAAAATAATTTTCTTATCTATAGAATTTAGGGTTACCACATTCTGGAAATATTCATTGCCTTTTGAATTGTAATAGTCAAAATAGAGCTTTTGTGCAGTAATTGAGCTACAAAGCCGAAAATATATTTAAACAATGATTTGTTTATAAATAATATAGTTAACACGAATCTGTAAATGATGCAACCGTGCACAATGTTACTATCAAACAGCTGCATACGTCCAAATGTTCAATTCTAGTACATTTATTTGCCGATGGTAGAGAACAATAAATAAACAGTCACTAAAATATACAGAGCGAACGGCATTGCTGTAATTCCAACGTATTGAAAGGACACAAATACATTGTATCCATCTTGATCAAACCAATAATAGGATATACATATTACGAAAATGTGTTTGTCAGTGAGGATTTATGTGTACTATACAGAAAAATGTCTTTGAAATCAATATTAGATTTATTATCAAATCACAGCAATGAAATGTATACTTAATTAGATTACATAATTATGCCACAAAATACAAGAACAAAAATTTTTGCTATACAAAAAATAAAATATAAAAATTATAATGTTTAAATATATCTTATTAGTCAAGGTAATTGAATTTATGTATAATTTTTTTAGTAAAAATGATTCCACTTGTATCTTCAACTTCTACGTTCAATTGTTTATTTGTCCTGTTCGTCTTCGATATAATTAATAATTTATCTGCAAATACGGTGTCAAGAAAGTTTTTATTATCATTCTTACCAATTTTTAAACTTGAAGAAACTTTAGATACGGTCAGATTTGCTTTTGATAAATCAGAAGTATCAGTTTTAGAATTATTCCTTTTCCTTCTAACTGGAAAACCTTTGGAATCTTCCTCGTAATCTTCCGATTCTGATTTATTATCTTCTTTTTGTGAATTCATAATTTCTTTATTCATATAACTGGAAATTAGTAATAACGAAATATTATTTATTCTAATTTTAATAAAAGAAACACAGGCGAATAGGTATCTACCTGAAACCAATATTGTAAACCAGTTGTAAGAAGGTCAGTGGAAACACTGACATAAGGATCATATTTACAAACAAAAAAAGACACTAAATAAATGCGGTGCTAATGAACGCGTAAAATACTTTTTAAACCGACTTAAAGTTTTATGTCAAATTAGTTTATGGATCTAGAGACAAAACAGACTTTCTGTTCGGTGAATTCTTAGGGTGAATTATTATTTTATTTGCCATTTATAATTCAAAATAAATAATATGTTATAGCAAAACATAACAGAGCCTCTGCTTTTTCTTCGTTTTTTATCTGACTATCTAGTCAATAAAGTAGAAAATAAAATCTTTATTTGTCGTGGGTAATTATAAAATAAATATATATGTGGGTACTACAGTAATAAAGTAGTTGTTGTTCACACTCGAGACGTTTCATTACATTCACTACATGGTGACAGCGGTGGGATCAAAAAACATCACAACTTGCCTTGGTAAATCGAATTTCTTTAAAATGTGTTCCTTTATATTCTCTGGTAGGTAGTTGATATTAGTTTTCATAGAAATGGAATTGTCGGCAGTTATTGTTGATTGCATACTTGTTAGTGTTGGTATTGGTCTCTTTGATGGTCGTGTTGGTCTTATTGGGCCTGTTCTAAATGTAACAGGTGGTGGATACTCGTACTTTGTGTTATAGTTGACTTGCAAATCATAATAGTCTAGCGGTGGCTTCTTGGTAACTTTTGGATAGTACCAATTGCTTTTTGAGCCGATGTTTCGATCAGGAACTGCGAATCTAGCTGGATTGATATTCATTTGGGGAACTTCATCTGGACCGTCAATCATTCTGCGTTGTCCAATATACATATTGGGTTGGGGAGCACCCTCAACGAATCCGGGACCATACGGTGCCGCAAACTTTTCGTCATAACTTATTGTGGTCTAGAAGAAAGAATTAACGTTATCATGCATTGTATTTAAGTTGTTTTTCACAAAACTTGTGAACAATAACCGTTTACTTTTAATTTTCGCTTGAGTACTGGAAATATTTTATAAGTATTTGGACTGGCCTGATATTGGATAAAATAGTTTTTATCCAATATCCAGGCATTTAATCAATTTGAAATTATATTATATATTTAGCAATCATTTTCATATTTTTTTTTATTGTAAAGTATATGGTTGGTTCTTGGCGCTCTTAATAAATTTTTCAGTCCTTAGTATGGTATACTAGGTAGTATTCAAATAATAGATTCCTCAAAAGAAGAATCGATTGTATATATTTAGCGATGCCGACGGTTATGCATATCTATATTAAAGGAATAATGGCAATTAATAAATTAATTCCTGTAATATATGTAGGCGACCATACACTTTCCATCTAGTGAACTGTCAGCTTGTTTGTTTTTCAATACATTCAGCTGATTTCGACATATTATATTTATAATTTACAAGAATTTACAGAATTGGCAAAAACAGTAAAGAATGGAGCTTTATTGAAAGTGGTTTAATAAATGGCCTTTGTAGTTCATTAATTACTTTAGTAGTATAACGATTAGTTTTCATATAAATTGAAATACTTGCGTCTGTATGTTTATTTGTATCTACATGTGCAATATAAAAATACAACATGCCGTTGATATATGCTTCACGGTCGTGCGCTGTGGGCTGTTAAATTTTCTCATATTCATGACACTGTGGATTGCTTTTATCTGGTCGAGGGAACCTTTTGGATATTTTTGTATTACCTGTAAAAATTTATAAAGAAATCTATTAAATACTATATACTTAAGAGATTGCCCTAGCGATAAGACCGCCTTTTGTACCTTTATGTGTATATTTCAATCTGAGTTATTGTTACTGTATTTCACTTGAATTGTCATTGTATATTTTTGTTTATGGTGCAATAAAGAGTTAAATAAAATTAATAAATAAATACTATCGCTTTTACAATAATATATAACCTATGTCACTGGCTGGTACTGTAGCTTTCTATTGATGTCTATAGGTGATTTATTAAAATCGGTTGAGAAGTTTTTGAGTATATCCATTACAAACAAATTTTTTTTTTATACAACTTAGAATGGCAAACAAGTTGACGGCCCACCTGATGGAAAGTGGTAATTGTCGCCTATAGATAGACATGAGCAGTACCATGGACATAACAGAGTATACTGTTTCGCCCATGATACCTCTCATGCGTTGCCATTCCTGAGGACTCAGATGTTATTATAATTAAGTTTATCCTCTTTATAATATTAGTATATAGGAAACTTGTAAATAATTGTTTAAATATAGATATAAAGTTCATATTTTGATATTGATTAAGATGGAGGTAGTCGAACTTTGTGGTGAAATATGAGGAAGAATTATGTTCGGCAATGGACGATAGACGGGTGGTAATGAATTAATAGTATGATTATAAATAATTTTAATACCTGCAATGACCTGAAATCAAAATAATGTTGGTACATTTAAAATACTTATATATAGTTATATTAGACAGATCAACTCTGTTGAGGTTTTTCGTAAAACTTCATTAAAAGGTATATACAATAGATTTTTAAATACCGACTTTAATTTAAAACTATACATAAAGTACCTCTGCCATCATTGGATCTGCTGTGTAACCCTCTGCTTTAGTGCTTGGATCAGGAGCCTTCGCAGTCAACTTCATCAAGGAACCTTCGTACTTATTTTGTTCATCCGACTCAAAGACTGAATCGTCTAGCCTTCGACCTGATCGTAAAGTAGTTTCCTCGTCCTCTGGAGCTCCGTTTCTGACTTAATAATTTCAAAGTTACAAAAAATTAATTATGTATGTGTAATGACAGGTAATTTTAACATTTTATTCTAAAATAAAATTAATTCTTAACAAAATTAGTATTAGATTAATATAAAGATATAGAGAAATCAAGGTCTGTTCAGGATGAACTAAAATATTATACAACATAGATACATAAAAATTACAGCCTAATTGGTAACTTATGTTTTTTAAGTCGGTTATTAAAGACATTTTAGAATTTACTAAATTACATGTTTCGAATAAAAATAATAAAGGCTGCATTGAACACTATATTTTTTAGGCTTTGTCTTTTATAAAAAAAAAAAAAAAGAAATTGTCGATTGTTGAATTGGTCCTTATTATAAACTTTTATGATATATTTTATTTTAAATACAACTGTTTACGATTAGATTCTCCAATGTGGCCAGCCATCGGCATGTGTCCACTTCGTCGCCAGTCCATATCATCCACGACCTCGTCGTCGAACACACCTCGTTTCAAATATACTGACACGTTTGTCTCTGAAATTTATTACATAGATTAATAACTAAGACATGAAGTATCTATATTATCATATTCATTATCATAATCATTAACTGCTGCAACTACGCTACGTTGCTACAACTAAATTTTACCTTACTGACTAAATATTAATAGTAAATTATCCCCTAGGTCGTTATTTTATTATTATCTTTGTCCAACTTTCATGAGCCAATACAGCCAAGAGTGATCTGTAGGCATGAGTAATATCAATACTGCTCTAATATATTGGGTTTGTCTGGGCATTGATGTGAGAAAAAAGGTCATACCTGTTTTGATATTGCCCATATCAATCAGATATCTATATTAATTTCGACTGGATTCTTCGACATTAAACATTGGATAATAGATGGTTATCATATTCGTTATTGAGTTAGTAGATATTGTAACTAAAATATATAGATATTACTATATATTACCCACTCCTATAGATTTGTATTTTGATTTTATACTCTGTGTTTTGACACACTTAATTTTTAATGGTCTGATTAAAAAAAAATATTGTCGTAAACGCTCCTCTACCATAATTAAACATAAAACAGTCTTTCTCACACCAACAAGTAGAATTATTTTTGATAGTAACTGGTAATTTGTCAGGTAATAGTTAATTTATTTTCTAATTGACTTTCCCTAATAATAGTAGACAATTTATCACGATTTGTAAAGAAGTACTGACCTTTCAAGTCAATGTATTCAGCTAGCGAGTAATTGTAACCCAAGGCTACACCAGAAAGCGAGGCGGTAACTATGACGCAGCAAACGGCCGAGCTGATGCAGCACGACATGGTGAAAGTCCATAACCTGTGAAATTATGCATGGCGTTATTTTTTAATGGATGATAATAGAATGATAGTCCCGACTGCGCTAACGGTATACGCTGGCAGGTCACCAGTGAGGGATGATAGGTGAGTATGAAAAGGCAGGTCAGTTAGCACACCGTGATGAATATACCTGGAATTTAGCACGATAGTTTCCATGGGGATCACGTAGATGTCGCCCTGATAGGGTATATTGCTAGCAATGGAACTAGTAACCCGCATTACTAACAATTCAATCCCCCCATTATGCATGGTATTACAGTACTGAGTGTTGGATAATTCACATTTGAAATTTAGCCATTTTATACGCACACTAGCGATTACTCCCGGATTTGTACGGTTTTAAAAAAATAATCCACAGTTCATGTTTCTCACTTACAATGTAGCTTGCCATAGGAGACAGAATTCTTAAAATCGATTAAGTACATTTTGAATATCTAATACAAATAAAAAATAACTTTTTTCCTTTATTAGTTGATGGAGTAATTCGTTTATTGCATACGCATGTTGTAGTAATAGTTTTAAGCTACGAAGGTTCCGCAAACATTTAAAGAAATAGTAAATAATTTAAATTATATAATAACGATTTATTGATGAAACGATAATCTCGAGGATGTGTACTCGTATAGTAATCGAATAATTTCCAGTCCTTCTATACAAGTAGTAAGCGAATTCATCGATACCATCGACATCGTTAGCGAGTCCGTGATATAGAATAAGATAACAACGTCGGATGTCTCATTCCATTGACGTATTCACTTGCCACTTGTATAGGGGAGCAGAAGAGAAAGCATATTAGATATGCGCAAGAGACTGCCCACGAATCAATATTATTAAGTACTTAATTTATTGAAACTAAGTGTTAATAATTTCAAAATTGTTGGCATTATAAAGTGTCGGTTCATACTTTTGCATTGGTTGATTAAGAGTTGCCAGACCTCAAAAATGGTGGCTATCTTGGCAACACTACGAATGAAAACGACGATCTCACTCGATCTTACCATGCACGTACCATTGTTCGAACGATCCTGAGATCACATCAAATGTATTCGGGGGTTTTCCATGATAATAGCTTTTTATTGTTCGAACAAAAGATCGGATGCGATATTGCCATACATGTGATTTTATCGAAAAATTGATTGTTACGATTATCGTTCCATGTATGGAACCTATTAGGAAGCACGCATGATATTCGTGTATTGGACTGGAAGTAAATACCGGAAAGAAAGAAGGTATACGTAAAGATTACGAAGTAAGTGAAACGGTGGTAGAAAGCAAGTAATGCGTCCTGCATATGGTACCTATACCATAAACTTATACCATAATTAGATAGACCGTGGATTTAAAGTAACCTAGATAAACCAGTCCTCGTGTGAGATGAATTATGAAAGCGGATATAGTGAGGGAAATTTGTAAAGATAGCGGCTTTGGCATTCGCTTGTCTCAGTTTACTCTGTAAAGGACTAATCATAACATAGAAGTAACAATTGCGGAATAACATACACAAAAAGCGAAATCTCTTGATGCATTCATAATATCTTTTACCTATTTAGTATAACTAAATAAGTTAAAATCGAAGTAAATACGTAAAACTGAGAATCTATTCGTGCTGTAGAATATAGGAGTATAAAAATTTCGTAAAACAAAAATTAAAAAGCGGTAAATAATTTTTAGATTCCCATACTAACTCGACATCTGAATGTGCTATATATTAGGGTACCCATGTTTCATTGGTTAAAATGATCAGTTATACAGATAGAAAATTCTTCTATGATTTTGAATAATAATAATATAATAAAATAATGGCATCAAAAAAGAAAAAGGATTAAGAATACTATATTTTTTTAATAATAGGTAGACCTATATGCATAAGATTTGTATTGTTGTAAGATTATTGTAATTAAATATAATTATATTTGGTTCAGTATAATTCATTGAAACTCTTACAATCAATAAGACTAGACGAAACTCATGAATATCAAATTTAGATTGCTAACAACTCTCGTATTGTTACTTGGAATTGAGTGCACGGAAAACATAACAAAACCGTTATGGTATGTACATTGATACTAATAATATTAATTAATCAGTAACAGATCCAATTATAAATTGTTAGACACAGGTTGATATTCTTGATTCTATTAATATGTAGCACGTTTTTTTTTTATTAATATATACCTATTACATCTTTTTGAAATTAAACATTGATATTATTTCCAAAATGGAATTCTTTCACAGATAATAAATACACTGTTTCGCCGGTGAAGGCATCTTTAAGGGTTTATTTACATTTGTTTTCTCTGTGCCATCAATTTAAATAGGTTTTAAATAAACATAATATGTACATTTTAATCCTTATTAGTAGGTACATCCTCATAAACGGTCATTTTTATGAGATGATAATTAAATGGAAATCCTGTCTGCTATGTATTGGTTTACTACTATGAATGTGTGGATACCAGTGAGAAATGATAGGTGAGGATGAAGTCAGCTCAGTTGGCCTGTCAGCCCGTCATAAATGCAGTATAACTTACTCACACAAAGACAGATTGGCTTTATAAATACAAAAACGGGACAAGAAAAGAGTTACACTAGTGTAAGTATTTTGTAAATGTATAAAAGTGACAATTCTTTAAATCAATTGTTATAATTTTTATTTCAATTCGTGGACATTCAGAATTTTATTTGGGTTTAATTGGATGTGTTTCTACCAATACTTATACAAAATATTTCATTTAAAATGATAAAATTTATCCTTTAAACGAAATATTCTTGTTGTATGTTATAATTGTTATTACTTAATGATATTATAATTAGATAATTAATTATTATATCCAGGTACAAGACAATTGTAACTAATTACATTCATTTAAAGTTAATTTCCCTCTACAACTTAAAAATAATTGGAACTTGTCTTTTTCATATTTCCGGCAAATCAACTTCGAGCTTATACTGAGTAGATTAATGTCCTGTCTAAATCGCTCTAACATACGAGTCTATGTTGTGTTTTTCTCTCTTACACTACCAATCTATATGTACACTTTATAATCTAAGTTGTTCGTTGAAGTCGACTACAGAATATATTTGAAACAATGGGCTATATCTCATTAGATTATTTTAACAAAGTTGGATATTTATGTATGTATAGTAGTTGAATTTCAGATCGGACTTTATGTAAAGAAGAGAAGATTTGATTATTGGCTACAATTTATTTACTGCGGGTATTTGAATGCGACGTGGCAGGGACGGAATGAATTTACTGCCGCTTGGCTATTTAATTGGGTTATTATCATTGTTAATATTTACTCGAGGCTGTTGAAAATTTGTACTCTTTCTTTTGACAGTCATAGATACATAATAGATAGTATATGCTTAGTAGGTACATAGTAAATTATTCTCAACTGCGGCTAACTTTTCGGATAGAAGATCTTCTAACTAAATATTTCCAATCGTGCGTTCCAATCAGTAATGTCAATTAAATAGAGCTTGAATTAATAAAGCCACGTCGCTCACTTGAATAACTTCAATTTAAAATTAATATTATTAACCATTACGGATGATTATTTATTAAAAACAAGTTTTCTCATCGGTTGTTACTAAGTTGTTATTTACAAAAAAGAAACCCAACAAATAAATAGTAAGAAAACATGAGAAAAATACGGAAAATACTTTCGATAAAACTATATCTATGAATATAATAAAAAAAATACTAAGAATAATTTAAAAATTGGTTTATAAATTGGCGAAAATAAAATATCGCAAAATATATGCACTCAAAAAATATATATATATATAAATCGATTCGGTACCTCTTCCTTTATTCCATTTTTATATATAAATATTATATACATACTTAGATTTTTGCACGATACTTCGTACCAGTAGATTTCAGAATTAGAAAAACCAATGAAAAAGGCCATTTCTATATGACGTATTATGATAAAAATAAACCAGATTTTAAGGTACATCTTTAGGAATATAACTGTTAAAACAGCATCCAATTTTGTATAGTAGTTTGCGTATGCCGGTACAAATGCTGAGGTTTTCCCAAGAGACTACAGCATGGGGATAAGGAGGTTTCTTTAGGGCATTCATAGGTTACAGTAACCGCTTACCATACATAGGTGGGCCTTATGCTTGTTTGCTACCTCAGTGGTATAAAAAAATGTACAAGACTGGAAAATAAAAAAAAAAAATTTTTTTAGTTTCTATTAGTCTTAAGAATCCTCAAATTATTTTTCTTACAGACGGTATCTGTGTATAAAAGATAAGGACGTAGTTACAATTTTATTATATTAGTAACAATATTTTTTTTATGAAGTTAGAATAGCAAACAAACTGACGGCCCACCTGATGGAAAGTGATAACCGTTGCCTATAGTCGTGAACAGTACCATAGACATATCAAAGTATATGTTTTGCCCATGATACTGCCCATGCGTTACCTTTCCTGAGGACTCAGGTGTTATTCCTTTGTACCCTGTAAATAATTGTCAAAAGGTATGGGCAAAACATTCAAAGTACCTAGCTACATAGTGATTACTTGCTATGTAGCTACAAGCTATTTACGTTATCTTAGTTATTCTCTTCCGTTGTTTGAGGAAAACTTCATTATTATGTATAGAAATTGAATTTACCTTTGTACCAGATCAATCACCCAACCACAGCATGTGAATATACAACACATTATGATGGACTAGGTTCGGGCCCATTTATAAAAATGTTAGATTGACTGAAAATTAAATAATGTAGGTATCTGTTTAATTATTAATTAATAATGAAAATTAAATGATGTAATCTGGTGATATGTCTACTTCATCATCATAGTAGAACGTCTACTGAAACTGTCCATTGAACATAAACCATCCCCAAAATGGGTTTTGCCAGTAGTTGCCATTCCTGGCAGGCGGGTTAGTAAACACAGTTCGGTTTTGGTGATATTTTAAATGGGACACTGTTGCTCATCCCTCAAGTATTAAGTTCCCTTAGTCGCCAACACCCATGGAAAAGGACAGGGATAGCTCATTCTATGCTATGCATTCTATCCGATTACATGAATCTCACTGACATGGCTAAATGATGGATTTATATGAAACAAACTCCCGAAACAATTAAGTGACAATAATTTTAAATAATCTAAATATTTCGAATTTTTTTTTATACAACTTACAATGGTAAACAAACTGACGGCCCACCTGATGGAAAGTGGTAACCGTCGTCTATAGACATGAGCAGCACCATGGACATAACAGAGTATACTGTTTCGCCCGTGATACCCTCCATGTATTGCCATTCCTGAGGACTCAGGTGTTATTCCTCTGTACCCTGTAAATTCACGCCATATCCCACCCTTCAAACCGAAACACAGCCATGCAAACACAACTGCTTCACGGTAGAAACACGAATAGGACAGAGGTACCCAAGCAATCGACTTTTGTACAAAGTCTCCCTCTGGTATTAATTCTGGTAAGTATTAAAAGATTTTGTAATGAAATTCAATCTACATAAATGCGATCTTACCAATATGATTCTTATTGTCCTGTTTTATTTAAAGAAAAAGCAGATAACTATGTAGACTCTTTCTTTTCTATTATATACTTATGTTTGTGAAACATAATGCTTTATTTTTATTTAATTGACACGTTCAATTTATTTGAAAATACGTAAAGACACCCGATAACATTATAAACAAATACAACGTCATCAATATTGACATTTAAGAGGACTTGAACACAGTCTAATAGAAGTTTAAAAACTAAAGAGGTATTACAATAGTGTAGCATAAGTGTCTTTTATGGATTCCTGATATTGGGCAATTTGTGACATCAAACTTAAATTGGATTTGGACAACATCCGGAGGCTCTTAGATGACGCAAACATACGATTTAAATTACATCATCATCATCATCATCATCATATCAGCCGTTAACTGTCCACCGCTGAACATAAACCTCACTACTTAGAAGTAGAAAAATCTAAAAAAAAGGTATGTTGTTTATACCGTAGATGGTGGCCACCGTTATATACTGTCGTGACTAACCGATAACTTGGTGCTCAAATTAAGTTACCTAGTTTACCTGAAATCTAATAATAGGCATCTGAAAGCAATTCAGAAGATCTGAAAAACCTAGTTGATGGTATTTTTGCAACCCAAATAAAATAGGCATAACAATATATTTAACCAATAATTCATAAAAAATCTTATCTGTTTTATTTGAAACATTATTGGAAACAAACTCTTCCTGCCTTCATAAGTAGGTATGTTTAATAATATTAGTATTCGAACGTGTTCTCAACTTTCAATATGAAATAGACGTGAAAATTGTTTCGATGAATATAAAACGAAATCCAAATAGACTAAGTTTGGGCCAAGTTTGTACACTAACCGGAGCGAACGAATTTTTTTTTTTGCATTTATTAAACATAACTTTATCTTAGTCGTTTTAGAATAAATGTATTGTAGAGATGTAGATGTTTTATTACTTTTTAATAATAAATATTCTGATTCATACTGTACTGTATTACAATAATAAATATAGTTACATTGTTCCCTTATTTAGCTACAATTACGGCCTAAACTGAAAAAAAAAAAACTAAAAAATGTCACATCAACTTGTTCAAATAAATAACCACGTACAAAACATAAACCTATTTGTAATCTAAACAAAGAACCTTCGGTATGTAAGTCTAATTCATCGATTTACTTTTTGTTTCGGTATATGACCACACAGTTTCTAGCGAGTGCTGGACACTACGATCAACTACAACTGAAGAGAGGAATTTTATTATTTCTATTAAACTTATTAAATAAATATTTTGTATTAAACTATATATATATATATATATATATATATATATATATATATATATATATATATATATATATATATATATATATATATATATATAACCTAGATTACTCACTGATAATGTAGTTTTCTACAGGTTAAAAACAAATATTAAAAATTTTAAAATCTGCGGAGTACCTAGTTTTTGTGTCTTTCCATTACAAACAAATAATCAAATCTTTCTTCTTATAATAATAATAAAAAAAAAATAGAAATGGATATAGAAAATCAACATTACTAGATAAATTATTTACATTTATTTTTCATTTTTATATGTAAAACAATATACTACATCAGCCGTTAACTCTTCACTGCTGAACATACGCCTCTCTACTGGAGGGTTTTGCTTGTAGTTGCCACTCTTGGCAGGCGGGTTAGCAACCGCAGTTAGACTTCGGCGGTGTTTTAAGAGATACGCTGCTGCCAATCCATCGACTATTAAGTTCCCTTAGTCGCCTCCTACGACACCCGCGAGAAAGAAAGTGATGGTCCATACTATGCCGGGGCCACATGGCAAAATTATATGTAAACGGTGAAACTCTCCTCATTATTGCGTCTTAAATAAGCAGTAAGATAAACTCTGAAAGAGTTAGTTGCGCTATAAATTACAATAAGTCAGTACTCAGTCACGCGGGAACCCAATATTGGAATAGTTCAGACGAGAAGTCGGTACGGTGTTCTAAGGGACTTAACAGTCGAAGTTAGTCTATTCTAAATATAAATTTAGGAATATAGATTAAAATACCGAATATCGGTTATTCAATGTACTTACTGTGTTTCTCGTTTTCGACAATTGTTTCAACTTTATCCGGAAGTCTACTTTAGGTGGCGCTTACGTTGTAGTATCTCGTTTCGGACTGCAACTATGAGTAAATTTCCGAGATCCGGTATCATAAATGAAACATGCACATAAGTTTAAAAAGTAACATAGATTAATAGTAATTACGACATTCTTTTTTTAAGTTTTTATTTTTTATGTAATTATTTGCATTTAGACAATATTTAAAGTTACAATACTTTTAAATTATTAATTATGATAATGATATATTATGACAAATAAAAAATCATATATAACAAAACAAATGTAAATTATACTTGGTGAAATGTAGGTATGTCATTATAAGGTCAGGGTCATCAGGAATGGCAATATATGAAAGGATCATGGACGATACTTTGTTATGTCTGTGGTACTGCTTATGTCTATAGGTGACGGTTATCATTAGGTGGGCTGTCAGCTTCTTTGCCATTCTAAGCTACACAAAAAAAAATTAAAAAATTTCGAATGTCTGTTCGTCCACACAACGACAGTAGTTAACAAATCTTTTTAATTACCCCATTAAAAATTATAGTTATGAAAATATTTTAATATTATTATAATAATTATTAATATTAGTTGCTAAATATTTCTCAAACGGTCAATGATTTATTTTTATTTTAAAGAAGTTTTATATGCCTGTTTCACATTTTAATGAACAATCCATCCATTTATCATTCTATTAATTATACAATAACGAAATAAAGTTCAAAAGTACCACAGATATATTAAAATTACGTAGATACGTAATTAGAAACGATACTAAAGAAAACGCGCTTTCACTAATTTCTACTAATAGCCAGTGAGTTTTGTAATCAAACATGCTAATACATTATTATTTTTTAACTTATGTTCATTTATAAACTTATTGTGTTTGCCGTTTGACACGAATCGCCGTACGCCCCCCGAAGAAAACTTTCGGATGAAGTCGAAACAGTTGTCGGAAACTACAAACACAGTAAGTTCATAAAATTTTTCGACATGTCAAAACATTTTATACAAATTTAGTAAAAATACAAAGTTTACATATGTAGTTTCTTATTTATGTTACATTAAATAATAGATTTCACTTAAGTTTTGTCCTATAAAAACTGTTTATTTTTCAATTGAAGTTTTTTGGTACTTTTGGATGGGACTGTGAATTTTGGATTTTTTTTTAATACTGATGAATATTATAGAGTTTAAACTTAAGTCGGTTTTAAAAATATCACTTTGTATGAAGTAGTGAATCTTGGGTTTTAGTTTTATATCAATGAATAGCATAAAAGTTTTTAATATAAGTGCGTGAGTGGCGTGTTATCGTAATAACATAAAGCAGGAAGTCATGCCTTTCAATTCCACTTGTTGCAACACAACAACAGGAAGCGGCAGAGGGCGCCACTGAGCGCCCACGCGGAAACTACCCTCGCGGCAACTTCCGGTAGCTTACACGAATTTCCACATTAATGTTATTGATACATTCGTTTATTTTCCTCAGTTAGTTGGTATTACAATATTGGTTTTAATATTTTATTTATTTTGTAATAAAAATTAAATAATACTTGTATATTGTGCGGTCTTAAAACATGCTGAGATACTCTATCAGTAAGCAAAAAGGGAAACTTTGTACAAAAGTCGTTTGCTTAGGCACTTCTCTCCCATTCGTATTTCTACCGTAAAGCAGTTGTGTTTTCATGGCTGTGATTTTCGGTTTGAAGGGTGGGATATTGCAGTGAATTTAGAGGGTACAGAGAAATAACACCTGAGTCCTCAGGAAAGGTAACCCATGAGGGGTATAATTGACGAAACCGTATACTTTGTTATGTCCATGCTACTGCTCATGTCTATAGGCGACGGTTACCATTTTTCATCAGGTGTGCCGTCAGTTTGTTTGCCACTCTAGCTTGCATAAAAAAAAAGAACGTAAAGAAAAAAAAAACATTGGTATTTGTCTAAATTAAAGTCTGTCTAAATTCTATTACTTCTTTTTTAAGTATATTTTCAAAATTTTTCAAAATTAAATAATTTAGATATTTTAAACACACGTATGTCAAAATTCGAATAGACTCCAATAATACGTACCACTTTTTAGTAGATACATTTAAAAATATACATATGTACATACCTATCTGTGAAAGGAATAATTTTACTACCACAACTTTACTACTTTAGAGCAGTATATTAGTAGCAATAGGTAGCAAAAACTATTAGATTATATAGACAGTGTGTCTCTATCTGTGGTCAACTGTTTATCCATGTGTGTGTGAATAGGGTTACCATGATGTGTCTTTATTACTCAGTATATGAAAAAAATGCCGCATAGTCCCGGCATACAATGGGCTACCCCTTTCTTACTTGTGGGTATAGGAAACTTAATTTGCGTTCTATATGATTTTAGCAAGACATGTGCACTCTTAAATATAATTCTAACATCACTGTATACCATGTTTTACGCAAATAAATATTTATTATTATTATTTTTATCATAAAAGGTGACTAAGGGAACTTAATGGTCGAGGCATAGGTAGCAACGACCCTCTTAAAACATCATCGAGGCTTCACTACAATTAATAACCAAGCATGACGACTACTAGCATAACCTCTATTATGGGGGAGGCCTATGCTTAGCAGTGGTCATGCTTATATGATGAAATAAAAAAAAAGATACAAAATTTAAATGTATTTCAAATAATAAGATGAATAATATATAATGCTTCGTAATGATACCTATCTTTACTGGTTACTTTAATTTATAAATAATTTTTTTTTTCGTTTTTAAATAATTGAAAATGCTGCCATTTTCCTTATTAATTAATATCACAAAAAATAGTTTCCAATTTAAATTTAATTATTGGCAACATTGAAAAAAGCATATCTTTTTACTCTCGATGCACTATCTATATAACCTAAGCTAAACCTATAGACTATAGTATAAGTCCAAGCAAGTTATAATACCCCTGATAGAAATTATAGTATTCCTATCTACTAATTAGTTTAGTATTATGGTTATTATCTGTGGTTATTATGGTGCTATCTATGGTTTATTCTTAGATTATATAGATAGTTTCCATAGAAATGCTTTGAGAAAAACGGGTTAACTTTTTCATACAATTTTGCGTGATAAATAGTTATGAGTGACTCCTCTTTTAACTTTTATATTTATTTTGTTTCATAATATTTGCACTTTTTAATGCGTAAACATTCATTTTATTTATTAAATAGTTAAATACAGATATATAAAGATACATTGTATGCATAAGTATGTAAAACACTGACAAAAAAAAACGAGTCAGCTAATTTCACAATTAGCTGATAAAAAGTTGTCCCATTTTTGAGGCTCGAGACTCTCTCTATATAATCTAAGGATTTATTTTAATAGAACTGAATGCAATATAACCTAGTTCTATTACAATTATCATTGAACCATTATTTAAATGAAATTAGTAACAAATCAAAACAAATAATCATTTAATCGATATTTTATTTGTACCACTATAGGACGTCAGCAGACGGTTTTATGGTTGGGTTAATTATTAATTTGTTTATATTTTCATTAAATTAATTGAAACAAACTAAACGTTGATAGACTGATACAGTTTTCATTCTCCCACTACTCCGAAACGCTCTATCCTTTCATAACAATATCTACTACTAAATAATGTAACCTATATACATGTACATTGCCTTCACAATTGTGTACACTTTAATGAAATTCTGACGTCCTTAGAATGTTTGAATAACATGCCACAGTCTCATAATGTAATAATTTACTTTACAAGATACAAATTGCTCTTTACACCTACTCAGATAGTACGCTTGCATAATTAATAATGCTCATAATCTAAATAAGATTAATAGTATAAATAAAAATCAATTGTCTGTAAGAGTCGTTATATTTGCTGTACTGAACATAAGCTGATATGTGCTGAACACAAGCCTTCCCCTAGGAAGGATTTTGCCAGTAGTTGCCACGCTTGGCAGGTGTGTTGGTAACCGTAGTTAAGATGAATGGGCAACAGTAACCCTCTTAAAACATTTCTAAAAGCTTAACTGGGGTTGCCAACCCGCCTGCCAAGCGTGACAACTACTGGCAAAACTCACTTTATGTGGAAAGCTTATGTTCAGCAGTGGATAGTTAACGGCTGAAATGATGAAATGGTTCGACCTGATATAGCGTACCACTAGGTCACGATGTTCGCAAATCGATAAAAAAAATATATCTTTATATTTATCAAGTGCAAAAAAAAAAGATAAACACTTTAATTATTTAAAAACACCTTGTTAAGCCACGTTTGCGAAACTCGCGAACCTTCATTTTGAATAAAGCCACATTCAATTTTTAACGAAAAACACGTTGGTAGCAAGGTTCTTGTTAAAATTTTTACAAAGCCCCACCTCTGAACATTGTGAATTGTTCGCATAGCCCTTAAAGTGATATACACAACATGCTCGTATGAACTATGTGCATGGAAATGTACAAAATACAGTTATATAAATGACGAAAAGGTTGAAAAAAATTCTTTTGCATTTATATACAAATCTTTTTATAATATACGTGATTGGTTTTTTTGCCTTATGGAATATTCCAACGTCTGTAACGTTATAATGAGATTATTAGGTGTATATTTTTTGTGTATATTATTTATATTTGAAACATGTTTTCTATGTGTTGGTATTTTTATTTATTATATTATGTATTGTCTTTACGGTTGAAACACGAATGGGACAGAGGTACCCAAGCAATCGACTTTTGTACAAAGTCTTCGTCTGAATACAGATATATTGGAACAAATTTGGTTATACTATACAGATTAACACGTAGCATATTTTTTATATTAATCCATTCTGAACAGCAGTGGACAGATAATATCTGAGATGATGATGATGATAGTGAAAATGATGATTTCACTTTGGAAATCCCGCGAGATACAATCTAGTATCAAAGTAATATATAATTTTATTATCTTTCGCAGCCGGCGTCCGCGTCATCAGTATTGTTGGTACACCTGGGCGCAGTGGGTGCGTTGGCCAGCGGCGCCGCCTTGTGCGCTGGTGGTGGCGGCGGTGCGTGCGCGTGCGGCGCTTTACTCCACGCGCTGCACCCTCTACAGCTGTGGACCGTGTGTGGGCTGCACGCCGACCGCGCCGCCGCAATTGCTGCACCATTGCATTACGCTGCCATTGTATCTGCACGGAAGGTTAGATCCTGTCATTACTAGAAGATTGTCAGAGTGTATGATTTTAAAATAAAAAAATACTAAAAAGAAACTTTGTCGCAGAAGTCATCGTCATAGTACGTCTATTCCACTTATAGAATCAGTTGTATTTGTATGGCTTTATTTCAACTTAGGAGATGGGAGCATCATCTTCTTCATTTCAGCCGTTATCCGTCCACTGTTGAACATGTCCCTATACATTGTCATAAGGAATAGGAGCGTTTTTTTATAACAATTTACCATTGGGGGGATATTTCTAGTAGTCGCTCCGCTTGGCAGGCAGATTGGCAACTGCAGTTTGGCTTTTGGTGATGTCTTAAGAGAGTTGCTGCAGCCCATTTTTCGACCATTAAGTTTCTTTAGTCGCCTCTTACGATACCCACGAGAAAAGAAAGGGTGGCCTATTACGAGTATTATACCCATACATTGAAAATACTTCTACCTATGTGAAGCTCGCTTGCTAGTTTCGTATATTCTTTTCTGTGAGCGTCTAATATGATTTTAATGCATTTTAATCACGTATTTTTTTTATTTGATAAGATTATTTTTTAACGTTATTATTATTTTTTTCTTCAGGTAATGATCTGCGTGGCGAGCGGCTGGGTAGCAACGGCAGCATTGCTAGCTCCTTTGGCTGCTGCCAAACCTCCGCTGGCGTACAGCAGCGGCCTCGGCAGTTGCGCTCCAGATTGTAGCGCTGGACCAGCCGCACTAGGATTCTGTTTACTGTACGCCTTGTTGACTTTACTGCTCCCTGTTGTACTAGTTCTCCTTTGCAGTTTGAAAATCCTTCGCATAGCTCGTTACCATCGACACAGAATTGCTGCAGCCATATACGAAGTAACTTTGTCAGCTCAAGTTACAGTGACCCATCAACGCAATCCATTTTCTCCTCCACCACCACATCGTCACCGAGCATTATCAGCAGTGCTCCAGCCATTAGGTTCTTTGGCCATTCTATATTTCCCATATTATTGTGTTTTAATATGGCCCGCTATAGCGATTCCACCTCAGCCTGTAGCAGCTTTGTCGGCCGCTTTATTAGCAGCTGCTCCACCTGTCAATGGTATCTTATATGGAATTAGAAGTCGTGCGCTTCGAGATTCTCTACGTAATTATAGACGAAAAAGAATGACAAAAAGTGAGGTTACTCAAGAGATTCAAGCAAGAACACCGAGTGCTTGTGGATCACGAAGGCCGTCTTTGTCAGCGGGTTCAGGTTGTATACGACCGCCGACCACAAGGAGACTATCTGATGCAGCAGCAATGGGTTCTAGAGGTTCAGAGCGGCCAGCGCCAAGAGCTGCATCTTGTAATATGCTTCAGGATTCCCAGGAAGAGGACGTACCTCGGCCTCGAACATCTGCTATTCCACTTATTCGTGCTCCCCCACACGTAGTTCTAGGTAGGGCGCTTGGTTTAGAAGAGACAGGTGTTCGGGGTCGGCGACGGCAATCTCCTAGAATCACAGTAACAAGGGCCATGTCCGATGAGAGTGAATCGCCAACCCGTCGCCCTTTGTGTCGACAACAGTCGAGGTCAAGTGGCGCTTTGCTCGGTGGTTTGTCTTACTCGCCAGCTTTATCAGAGAACGTGAATGTTGACAATCCGGACGAGCAGCTCCTTCTCTCATGGCCACAACATCAACCTCACGTGAGATATAACGCTTTATAAAACGGGTATTTTTATTGATAGTATTGCTGATAGATGTGCGTTTAGGTGCTTAATACACACAGCGGTGTAGCGCCGCGCAACACGTTGGACCGTCGCGATGCGTAATGGCGATTCACAAGTTTATAGTATTTATAGTTTCAATCGACTTCAGAAAGAAGGAGGTGAATTTATGATCATATAGATGTTATAAGTCTTGGGAGGTTATCACTGTGCTGGAGGGAAAGGAATTTTTAGTTATCGACTACTATGTTTTCTAAATAAAATGTACAATTATCCTCCTTTTTCAAAAAGAAGGAAGTTTTCAATTCGGTTGTATTTTTTTTATGTTTGTTACCTCATAACTTTGGCAGTTATAAACTGACTTAGAAAATTCTTTTTTATCTGAAAGGATATACATACAGATAGGTTCTATACAAAATTTTAACAAATCGATTCAGTAGTTTAGTTTTTAAATCAAAATAATTGGTTAAATAACTGGATTTGCCACAATCGAAGTAGTTTTTTTTTATGGAGCACAATTCTTTTTTTTATGCAACTTAAAATAGCAAATAAAGTGACGGCTCACCTGATGGAAAGTGGTAATCGTCGCCTATAGACACGAGCAGTAATATGAACTTAACAGAGTATACTGTTTCGCCCATAAACCCCTCATGTGTTGTCATTCCTGAGGACTTGGGTGTTATTCCTCTATAGGGTACAGAGGAGTACCTAAATTAATATTATTATTATAATCCGTTAATTTTTTGCTCTTAAAGTAGTAACTAAGTTGCGCCACGCCATAGTCTGTCGAGAAGCGCGGCGCTACATCACTCTGTGTGTGAAGCACCATGAAGACAATAAATATGTGTGCGGTTCAAGTCGAGTCAGCTTCGGTGTTTTCAGATGTTATTTTTTATCGCTTTGTACCGACCCGTTTCTACTCGACCTTTCCGACCAAACTGTGACCAATTCGTAATGTTTCCTATACTATTTACTACTGTATTAGATGTAATTATTTCTCCTACAGGGTTCCTTCATATCGTTAGCTTTACCTACTGACGTATTAATTTAGTCTGTATCTCTGTAAAATCTCTGAAATATTCCATAGGTATATTAGGTACTATTGAGATTGTTGGACTTTCTAGTAGGAATGATTTGTGATTAGAGCGTTTTACAGATAAGGAAGGTTGCTAGGTTCACACAGATGTGTTCTACTTACAAAAACTAAGTTAAACGTGCACTGGACAACTTGTCTGAGAGTTATAAGTAAATTACATAGAAATTATTATACAAACATAACTTTTGTGAACACAACGCTTTTAGTCAACGCCGCCGTCCAAATCTTGAAACTTCTTTAAAGGTTTAGTAATGTACATACATACTACCATACTGTCTTTTAGGCTTGACAAAAGTATAAAAAATATATATCTAGATAGAAATTACAAATGTACCTATCTACGTAATAATAGAGACATGTTATTTTAATGATTTACTATAAAATCATTAATTGATGTATAAATTGTAGCATTCCTCGAAACAGCATTGCACTCTTTATAAAAGGTATTGTTATAACCCGTAATAAGTATTTATTCAATTTTAAATTGGATGGTGACATTTTATCTCGTTTTGCAATGTTCAGAATAGATTGTGAAGTAGAAATTCCTTAGATTAATATAATTTATTGAAATATTTAAATGTCGTTATTTAATGATAAATGTTTAAGCAGATAAATACGAATTGTTATTCTAGTCAATGAGCTGTTGTTTTATTGTATCTGTGTTAATTTAATTAAAGATTTAATTAAGCGAATAATTAAACAACACAAGCATTTGATGTCGTATTATTTACATTTGTCTATTTATAAAGAAAATATATGTACAGCAGGAAATAAGGTAAAATTAAAGTTTTTTTAGACATGGCCGTAAATGGAGGACACTTTATTGTAAGTATCTGTTACAACAAAGGATCTTGTAAAATATCTTTTCCAATTTTGAAATGATTTTGATATTTTTTTTTGTAGGGTTTAACCGTGTTGAATGAATGCCATATGAATTCTGTGATAACTAGAGTCTGTCCTTTTTTAAGTGTAAAATTTACCTTTTAAATTTTATTCTTGTTCATACTGAAGCAAAATAGTCTAGAAGTTTGAGAGAGTGAGTGTTTTCATTTGTTATAACACAGATATAAAACACATACTTCAGTAATCTCTATATTATTACTAGTTGACTCGGTAAACGTTGTTTTACCATATACATTATTTCTAGAACTATACATAAAAATATATCGTACTACAATTATTATATTCCATTGTCATCTTGCAACCATATTGCGGCATATAAAAATTGCGTTTAAACGACAGGGGTTGATCATGAAAACGTGAAAATTTGAATTTGTATGTATTTTTCAATGCTAAATCATAATAAAATAAAAATAAAAAAAATTGTCCTAAAAATAAAAAAACTTTTTTTAGTGGTGGGTCACCCTTATCATTGAGGGGTATAAAAATAGATGTTGGCTGATTCTCAGACCTACCGAATATGCACACAAAATTTCATTAAAATCGGTAAAGCGGTTTCGGAGGAGTTTGGTAACAAACACCGTGACACGAGAATTTTATATATTAGATTATAAATATAAAAGTGAGTTTCTTTGTTTGTTTGTTGTTTCGTAGCGCCTTATTGACTCAACAAATGGTAATTAAATTTGATATACTCGTATTCAGAATGAAGAATGATTTAACAATTATTTCAATCAAAATATACATTACACTGACTATGTTATTGGGTAAAATCTAGCGAAGAAATAAATCCTATTAATAATATAATAAATTGAAAATTTATAACAATGGATCGATGTTTGTAATTCTTTCACTCAAAAACTACTTTATGGATTTAAGTGGAATTTGGTATATGGGTAAGTTATATTTTAAATTACAATTAAGGATACTTTATATACTAATTCATGCAGATGAAGCCGCGGGATACAACTAGTAATAGATAATGATGAGACATGATTGAATACTTTAATAGTTGACATTTAATTTACCAATAAATACAATAACATTTACGTCACCACCAATTTTGGACTAAGGTTCAATCAATCTAATGGACATTTATATGCTACACAACAATTATTTATATTCACCTGTCAATTATTAAATTATATAAGCAGCTATTTATAGATTAAAAGCTTCTTAACGTAGTCTTTTTAATAAATCTAATAATATTCTTATTCTTATATTAATAATAATAGAGATGCCCGTTTGTTTGTCACCACTTAACACCATAATGGCTTAAAAATCATTATAAATTTTGTTATCTATACACGTATAATATCGGATAGAAAAGGACATACATACATATATACATATTTGCCACGCCTATCTTCCATTAGAGTAGGCAGAAACAAAAGGGCGACAAATGCTTCGATTCAAACAAACCTATTTCACTTCTTCCACACTCATCAATCTTTGGGATCTATGGAGCATCAATGGAAAAGGACGTACCCCGGTCAATGAATATACTTCGATAACATAGAAGTCGCAATTAAGTAAGTCAGTATTATGTACCATATGTTAGTAGATAACCTTCGAGGTGTAGCGATAGACATATTGCTTTGTGAACTCTTGTATATATATATTTTTAATGCATGATAATGGAATGGTAACTCTCCTGCGCTAACGGTATACGCTAGCGGGGCACCAGTGAGGAATAATACGTGAGAGGCCCATCGTGATAAGTACACATAGAATTCAGTACGATAGTTTTCAGGGGGAACCACGGGGAGGTTGACCTGTTAGGGTATATTGTTAGCAATGGGACTGATAATCCACATTACTAACAATCCTTTCCCTCAACTTTTGTATATATGTGTGTTGTAAATTATCCAACAGGGTGTCGAATATAAAGCAATGGTAATGCTATTTTTTTTTACTTTCGTTTATATATCTAATAAAACATCGTTTTTTAAGAATTATCTGATCACTAATAAGTAGGTACGAAAGCAAAGTTGCGTAAAAGTTCATAATATTTATTTAATAATTTTTGAGATTTGAAAATTGTGTGTTCCCAATTAGCCCACTTTCCCCTACATATCAACCAATTAAATAACTTTTAACTTAACACTATTCATATAGATAGTACGGCATTTTTTTTTATACAACTTAGAATGGCAAACAAGCTAACGGCACACCTGATGAAAAGTGGTAACCGTCGCCTATAGACATGAGCAGTAGCATGGATATAACAAAGTATACGGTTTCGCCCATTATACCCCTCATGGGTACCCTCTAAATTCACTGCAATATCTTACCCTTCAAACCGAAAACCATATCCATTAAAACACAACTGCTTCATGGTTGAAACACGAATGGGACAGAGGTACCCAAGCAATCGACTTTTGTACAAAGTCTCCCTCTGGTAAAGAAAATAATAGGGCAATAGAAAAACCGTGTAAATACAAAAAAATAAATATAGGTAATATTACTTTATATTATATCAACTAATAAGGAGAAAAAGAGAGAAATAAGGAATCAAAGAGAATCTTGTAATATCCCAAGGTAGGATATTATAGTATTCTCTTTGAGTCGATGAGCCGGCAGAATATACGGTAACGGACTTGGAAAAACTTCATAATGTTATTAAGCTTTTAGGGAGTGTGAGAGGCGTCATTGACAAAATATATGTTAGAAAGTCTGAAGCCAAATCCTTGCCCGTGAGTGGATTCCCTGAACAAATATATCATGAATTATTACCTTAAACACATAAGAAACGAAAAAAGGGATATTCGATGCGCCATCCTTGTAAAGGTTTCCATGAAAAATTCATAAAGTTGTGTCCATTTCCAGAATAAGGTGCAGCGTTAGTTATTTTATCTACATTTTTTCTTCATAGAGTTCACTTACCTGGGTTTCTATTGGTTCGTGCAGATATCAATTTGTGTTGTCCTTTTGAATTTTTTTTGGGATTAATAGCTATTGATTCTTCCACCCTCACTAGATGGAGTGACGACCTTAAATGCATTGCAGGGAGTCAATAAATGTAGGTGGCTAAGAAATGTTCTTTATAGCAATCTATGAGAGAGGTCTACGTTTAAGAATGGACAAATATGGCTGAAGTGATGAAGATGATGATCTATTGATTCAAAAATTGTAGGAATAATATTTTTTTTACATATTTTTCTTCACATCAGTTGGTAACAATTGACAGATATCTATAGATTAACCCCCTTATTCATAAAAACGTCAAACCTTTCATAGCTGTTGAGCAGTTTTGTTTCTCTCGTTTATTAATATTTCCAATTTTAAAGATAGTGACAAAACAGTCTAATAGTTAAAATAAATTTGTAGTAGATTTTAATTTTTACGAATAAGAGGGGACGCCTAAATAAAAATTGTTTTCTAATAAATTGTACCGGATTGAATTATGTTCAATGTCAAAACCTTCGAAGGTAGCTTTGATAATCTTACGATAATTTTTTTAAATCTTTTGTTAGATGTTAATAAACAAGTCTAATTTCCAATTCAGATAAATAAATAATAACTTTTATTTAAGTAAACTTAAT